GGCAAATACAACTTAGATGGGGCTCCCAGAAGGTGGGTGCATAACTGACTGGATAACCATACTCAGAGAGTAGTTATTAATGGTTCACAATCCTTCTGGAAAGGTATAACAAGTGGGGTTCTGCAGGGGTCTGTTTTGGGACTGGCTTTGTTCAATATCTTCATCAAGGATTTAGATATTGGCATAGAAAGTAGGCTTATTAAGTTTGCAGATGATACCAAACTGGGAGGGGTTGCGACTAATCTGGAGGATAGGGTCAGAATTCAAAATGATCTGGACAAATTGGAGAAATGGTCTGAGGTAAACAGGATGAAGTTTAATAAGGACAAATGCAAAGTGCTCCTCTTAGGAAGGAACAATCAGTTTCACACATACAGAATGGGAAGCGGCTGTCTAGGGAGGAGTATGGCAGAAAGGGATCTAAGGGTTATAGTGGACCACAAGCTGAATATGAGTCAGCAGTGTGATGCTGTTACAAAAAAAAGCAATCATTATTCTGGGATGCATTAACGAGTGTGGGGTGAGCAAGACACGAGGAGTCATTCTTCCGCTCTACTCTGCGCTACTTAGGCCTCAGTTGGAGTATTGTGTCCAGTTCTGGGCACCGCATTTCAAGAAGGATGTGGAGAAATTGGAGAGGGTCCAGAGAAGAGCAACAAGAAGGATGAAAGGTCTAGAGAACATGACCTATGAAGGAAGGATGAAAGAACTGGGGAAGGCAGATGGCAAACTCAAGGAAGGCAGATGGCAAACTCTTTTCTGCTGCTGAAGACTGTAAATGAAATGTGTGATTTGCTGATAAGGAAAGCCGTTGGTTTTGGAACACGATGCCTGTTACCAGCGAGGACTGCAGACTGCTGTTTTAAAAAGTTCCATTTCGTGAAAATAATATTCCAAAATCTGAGCAAGATTTGCAATGCTGGACTTTGTGCTGCAGGGGGCGGCAGCGTTGATGGTTAAGATAATCGTTAAGATAGACACAAAGGATATGAGGCATGATTGTTTACCTTCATTGATTCCAGTCCCCTATTAGCAACATCACAGCATGCTGGATCACCTGATTTCTTAACCTCATGTTCGTGACCTGCTGCTAAACCAATTTAAGGCTTTATTGTTCTTGTAGGCGAGCTGATTTACAGCAATCTCTACAATTCTGTTACTTTTCCATTGTAATTTGTGGTCCTCCCCTCTTCCATTTTTATAATGTAGTTTGGAGCAGTTAGCAAAAAGTGAGACTGGTATCACTGTGTAACATTTTTCTTTTCAAATTAATGGTCCTGCTAACTTGCTACCCTGTAACATGGCTGAACTGTCCTTGAGATACTAAAAGCAGTATCTTTGGCTGGGGGTGGTAATTTTGTCTCCTCATGAGTTTCTAGATATCAGTTTCCATGGGAACAGAATCTCAATTAATACTTATGCATAAACTTACTGGGGCCTTCTTTCAAATCTTATTCTTGCTTCTTTTAAGAAAAAGCAGTTGTGAGAGCATAGTATGAGTGAATTAACCTGAGGGAGGAGGGGGGTATTGATAGTGTCTATCCAGAAAGGTTATTGGCTTGCAGTAACAGGATTAAAAGAAACATTATAGAGGGCCTGGATGTCTCAAGGGGATTGGTAATGGGATACAATTAGCCTTCACCTCACTGATTTGAACATGGCTCAGGCTGAAAGTGAATGAACATTGTCATCTTTTGAAGGCTGCTAGGTTCCTGTGAAAAATGGAATTAGATTAAGATCAAGCATACCAGTCAGATATCCTCCCTCCTACATAAGCAAACTAAACCACCAATGGGCCTCTCATGTGCAGTTAGCACAGATAACCCAAGCACTAAATGCACTTAAAACACTTCAGTAGTTTACAGAAATTGCCCTACCCCAGCAGTATCACTGTTCTTAGCAGGAGCATTTGGATAATGACCCAAGGACTAAACAAAAGTGGGCATGAAGAGCAAACTGCTGTTTACCCTTTAAGTGACCTCGACGGGCAGCCATGAGTGACATTTGCAGGGCACTGAGAGGAATCTTATATTGCTGTTCTTTGTTTCATCCAATCTAGTGAAAGGCTAAGAGGTGAGTTCATTTTCCAGGGCTATCAATCTGAAATCTTTAACATGCATTAACAAGTACTTCCGATTTGGAAAATAAATAGAAATCTCATTCAAGAAAAATATTTAATGAAACAATGTTCCCTCTAATTTTTTGCATTCATGTGCAGAATAATTTTATTATGTGCACCAAGGCATGTCCAGAAGTGTACCACCAGTATAAACAAATGCTGCAGGCTATGGGTGTTTAGGACATTCTGCTAAATAGCTGGGTGGCAATTGAATTTCTCCTGGGGGGCCGGTCAAGTGCTCAGCTTACAGGGAACACTTAATGAAGATAGGCCTGGGTAAACCCTGAGAGAAAGTGCAAATAATCTATCTAACTACTGACAGGGTCTTTTCTGGGCAAATGCATGGATGATCTCTGTGTGATTAAGGATGAAAGGACTAGCTGCTTCACCCGACTCTCTTCCCTCAAAATACTGTTCTATAACCATTTTTTGTTTTAATTAAGCACTACTTTCTCAAAGCACTGTCTTCTTCCACCTCTCTCTCCTCCCTTGTCCTTCATTTTTGATGACTGACTTAGAGAAGAAACAGAACAGACATCTGAAACAAAGTATGTGTCCTCTCCCAGGTTTGAATCATGACCTCTCCTCCCTCATTAGGCAGTTTGAACTGGAGCTGGTTGGGAGCTGTCAGGCTAAATGTTTTGTCGGAAAATTCTGATTTGTCAAAACTGAAACGGGTATGTTTTGATTCATCTCCTGATTTTTTTGTAATAGGCTTCAAAATTAAATATCTTAATTTGACACTTCTGATATGAAAAATTTTGATTTTTTGTGTGCGTGTGAAAAGATGTTTTTGTTTCAAATTTTAGGGGATTTTTGTTACTTGAAATTACTGAGGAGGGTGGGGGTTTTTTGAATGATTGGATCATGATTTTTTTATTTATCTTTTGGTTGCAATTTGGAATGAACTTTTTTTTTTAATCTTGAAAATTCTCGTGGCATCAGAAAATCATTTCCCACTTTGCACAGATATGTGGACTCTTTAAATATAAGTATTTTAGGGATTCAAGTGGCTCACGTTTTAACCTCACTCTTATTTCAAGAGATCTGCTATCCTTCAAGCCTTTCTATGGAAAGTCAGGTAGCTCAGAAACACAAAGTAGAAAGAGAGATGAACTGGCCTCTTGTAAATTTCTTCCCACCTCATCTCTCAACTATATGTACCATATTTCATATTGCCTCCTTCTGATACCTTCTCTTCATCAAGAGGTTGGTTATTTTTAAAGTTTGTGAATGTTTTTCTCCCTACTGACACTCTTTAAAAATACAAATTGTATGAAGAAGGAGACGAATAACTCAGTCTGTTCCCATATTAATTCTTTGTCTGTAGAGAGTCTATGACATAGTGAGTTTCATTCATCCAAATGTTCTACTTCATGGTTACATTGGCTAAATCTTTTTAATATGACAGTAATAGGGATGTACTGTAGGAACTGGTTTTCATTTCTAATAGACTCGCCTAATGTGAAAGGGAGAAATGGCATTTCATGGCTCTACATTTAGGAGTTGAGACTTTCCTGATGGAATTATTTTTCTCCCATATTCACTCATTATTACTCCCAGTTCTGAAATACAACTATCTCTGGGAGCAGCTCAAAGCAATACTGAGCAGCATTGGAAGTAAAGAAGATTGTATCTATCTAATTGAAAGTGCAAGGGATTGTAGGAATGGAGAAAACAAACAGCCAAACTAGAATATGGTCGGAGCACTAAGCTTAAAAATTCTATTGACGTGAAGAGTGCCACAGAACCACTTAGATGTGAAAGTGCATAGGATCATTCTCGCCCATCCATCTTTTGGATGATGTGACGGGGCGAGCCACCTCCTTCCCACCGACGCCGACCCGCCCTGCACCGAACCCGCGGTCGCCCTGACTCTCCTGGGAACCACCCGGGGAGCAGGGACGAACTGCGGTGCCTGCTCCGCCGCCGCGGCCCAGCTGACGAGCGGCGCGGCGTGAAGGGGGAGGGGCCAATGGGCGCGGCGCCTGACGTCATCAGGGCCAGACGCTGGCGCGGTCTTTTTGAAAAGCCCCGTGGAGCCAGAGAGGGGGGAGAGCAGAGGGGAGCGGAGAGGAGCGGAGAGTGAGAGGGAAAGGGAGAGGTAGAGAAAGCAGGAACGAGCGGAGAAGGGTGGAGAGAGATTGGTACAGCACAGGAAGGATGGGTGGAGGTAGAACAGGCCCGTGGAGGCCACCGGGGTAGTGGATAGGGGGTAGGAAGAAGCCCAGGGCGGGTGAACCCGGCGAGCTGGTGGGCTTCGAGCAAGCGCCCCCCCAGCGAGACAGGTCTTTGCTCACCTGTCCTCAGGGCCCTGGGTTGGGGTCCGGGAGAGAGGGTGGGCCTGGCCCCCCCTACCTCGCCTCGGGGTGCTATCACCAAGGGGCTGACCGGAGAACCCGAGACAACAGGGAGAGAGACTGGACTCGCCTGTTACAGATGAGACGGAATCCTTTACTCATCTCAGTGGTCAGTCGGAATGCTTCAAAATGCAGGGGTGCCTGGTGATTGCTTTTAAAAACAAATCAGAAGAACTTCCAACAAGTTGTTATAATCTCTATTTTATGAGTAGTCATAAAAAAAGAATCAGTTTCTTGTAAAGGCTAAAATATAACACAAGTGTTTTTAAAAAGCACTTTAAAAATGAATAATAAAGACAATGTACCACTAACCATAGTTTATCATTAAGCTTAATGGGACTGAAGCACTAGCTTAACCTCAAGTGAATGCTTAAGTGCTTTACTAATTAATACAGGTTGAAACTCTCTACTCTGGCACCCTCAGGACCTGACTGGTGCCAAACCAAAGAATTTGCTAGATCATGGGAGGTTAATACTGTCTAGCAGCATTGCCAACATTTTTGCTATGTACTGGGCTCCTAGAAGACATTTAGGGGTAAATTAGAGCTAAATAACAGCACTGAACATTGAGAGCCAGGACTGGTGGGTGTAAACAAATTTTAACAGGAAGGTTGGCCATACCCATAAGTGGACATCCGGCTACCTAAAATCATGCCGGATCACGGATATCACCAGACCAAAAGGTGCTAGACTAGAGAGGACCTACCTGTAACTTGAATTGCAGGTTATAATAACAAATCTGAGTTCTATAATTTTTAAAAACAAACACTAATGCTATTCTTAAGCATATAATTTTCTGCACCCATCATGCTTTGATATGAAATCCAATCATTCTTTAATTTTTTTCAGCCAAGGCTGGGACAGTCACTTTTCAACATTTTTAGCGTCATAGATTTCAGTCTTCACTGTTGATGCTTTGTTTTGCAAAATTCATATCCACATATATCATGGAGTCTCTGCTTGGCCGTGAAGGAGGATGTGAGAAGATAGATGTTTTTGTAACCTGAAAAGAAAGCATTAAGACATTCTGTAAACAGTAAGCCTGTAATCTATAAAGCTGCAAAGGCACATCTTGCATACACATAAGAGTTGTCTTCTAGTCTAACTTCTTAATTTGTCAGTGTTTGCTTTTTCATCTTTAGTGGTAAAGATAATGAACTTCTGGTAACAAATCCATTGCACCTAATTCTGCTCCAATTCAGACCCATAGCAAAAATCCTTATTGCATCAATGTGAGCAGGATTGCAGTCAGAACTGTCCCCAGCTGCACTGCTTTGCTTAAAAACAGTCAATATGTTTCTTAAATGTAGCCTGTGAACATGCTTTCATAGAGATTTAGCCAGAGGGGAAAGTAAGCAGTTGCGCTCTGGTACACAGCTTTGGCAAGAGCTGGCTGAGCTGCAGCAAAAGCCAGCAGGGAGCTATTGAAAGAGCTGGCAGGGACCTGGGTTGCAACAGGACTGTAAGAAATTTTAAGTTACTTTCACTGCTGGATTTAGGTCTGTGAAAATGTGAATGAACAATAGTGACAATCCATTTGTGCCCAAGAGAGAAAGCTAAAACTTCAGACGGGATCATTCTATAACTTGTAGCTCAAATACATTGGAATGCCTTCACGATTTACAACCCTCCTTCTCTGTTTTCAGGGTCAATATGGAAGTTTTCAGGTTGAGAACACATTTCAAGCCCATATTCTAGAGGTGCTAAACGAGGTCTTTAAAATAGGAGTTAAATGAAATTTTAATTATAGAGAGGTTGCTGCTTTTTAAAAAATAGATGCAACTAGAAAGAGAGAAAACAATAACCCAGCATGATCCTAATCATTGATACTGCTAGGGGTGATCTGAAATGTCTGGGCTTGTCAGCTAGTTAGGAAGCAACAGCACAGGAGAGAAGAGCAGCTCATAGGAAAAGGAGGGATGAGTAGTGAGGCTTTAGTTTGATTTTATAAGAAGTTAATGGTAACTTCATCGCCAGTCACACACAACATAGAATTCCTCTCCACCCACCTTCCCCTATGCCTTTGCTCTAGTTCAGGGATACTCAACTTTGGAAGCCCCCGGGGCCACAATGATACTCACAGCACATGCCAAGGGTCACAATTTAAGTGTGAAAGCGACGAGGAGTCCTGTGGCACCTTATAGACTAACTGAAGTGTAGGAGCATAAGCTTTCGTGGGCAAAGACCCACTTCGTCAGATGCAGATTCAGACTAACACTGCTACCCCTCTGAAATTTAAGTGTGTGCATATACATGCAAATATATATATATATGTATATGATTGTATATGTATATGATTGATTGTATATACATGCAAATATAGAAGAAAATATATTCAAATAGCTTCTTTCACACTGACAGGCATGAATACAAAGATTAAGCCTTAAGCTGCAGCACTGGACCCAAACGTGGCCAGTGTGAGCCAGTCAGCACCTCTCAGGCTCTGCCTACAAGGCTAAGCAGCCAGCACTTCCCACAACGCTCCGACACTCACAGCACCTCCTCCCTGAGGGCTAGAAATGCCGACACCCTGTACCCATCTGTTCCAGCAGCCTGTCCGCTTGCGTCTTTCAATGCTCACTCTGCCAGGCAGATGACTCGCTGTTATGGAGCGTGTTCCCAGTGGAGGCCATGTTCAAAGGTTCCCACCCGCGAGTCGCGTGTTGATCCCGCATAAACCCAAACTGCTCCGCAGGCCACAAACAAATCTTGCGGCCCAGGGGCTGTGTGTTGAGTAGCCTGCTCTAGTATTCTTTTCCCATCATCCCATCTGCCAGGGAAAATGCATTCCCAGGTCTTTAAAATATCTCATGCCAGGTGGAAGACAAAAGGAAAGGCAGTTGCTCGTACTAATATGGGTTTCATTTCTTCAACTTCTTATGAGACTGATCAGGCCCTATAACACCCCTTGCAAGACTCAATATTTCTGACATCAATCATCATCCATAATAAGCAGTGAGATAATACCAAGTGTTATTTTGAGCCTAAATAGAATGTCTTCTATCTTTCATCACTGGGGCAATTGTCAGGTGGGAGTCTTTTTTGTTTACATTTGATGCACTGTGTGATCCTACCTAGGCCATGGCATGGCAGTGAGTCACGCACACAGGAAATTAAACTACATATGTCTTTATGCGAAGAGCCGTTGCTCAAATTTAATTAGGTAGGATTACAAATCGATAATAGGCTTCATTAGCATAATGCTATTCCCATGAAAGTATGTGCTGGGATTATGAATTTAAATCTATTTCTCCAAAGAACACACAGATCTCATTCATCAAAGCAACCGCAATTTCACTTCAAGAAACATTCCTGATTTACATAATGATTCTCAACTCATGATGCAAGATTTATAAATCACATTGTCAATCTAAAAGATGCCCTCTATTCAAATTATGAAGTCTCTGTGACTAGAGACCCATTATTCTGAATACAGAGGCCATAAAAACATCAGTACCTCTGACTTAAAATTGATCTATTAGGCAATAATGTTTCAACTTGGAACTTGGGATTCCATTTATCAAAAATATCTGTCTGCAGCTGGGTTTCACACTGGATATTAATGAAAACCTGTATATTTCAATCACGATGCAGATCTTGCACTCAGTCTGGGCATAACATGAAGTGGCTGAAAGGGAGGAGTCCAGGCTGCAAAGACTCCATCCAAATGTCTCTAAGGTCAGGAGTGCTTGGATATGAGGCACAGGCCTATGTTGAGTAGCTTCAGTTCACAAGTGAATTAAAAAAAGACAACTAGTTGGCTGTTTGAAGCCTCCAGTATAAGTGGTCAAAAGCCCAGTTTCTTGGCTATCTAAATGTTCCACTATTATAATTCAGCATCTCAATTTTCACTGGCAGCTTTGCAAAAAGCTTATCTTTCCTTTCTCATTAGTAGCTCTTCTTGTCCACCAGCTGCCTTAAATTTTGGGTATGGATCAAAAGTAAAGGTTGAAAAATGAATTATTAAAATGTTGCAGAGTAGATTCAGAGATTAGCAAGAGATACACAGAAGCTTGAGTGGGATCCTGGTTGAAGGAGAAGATCTACTTAGGTCCTCCCCAACAAAGCCAACTTAAGGTTACATCGATTAGTAAATCCTGTTCTGTAACAAAAGCAGCTAAAATGAAACCTAGGTAATCAGTGCCTTATGTAAAACAAAAGGCTACGTCTACACTGGCAAGATTTTGCGCAAATACTTTTAACGCAAGAGTTTTTGCGTTAAAGTATTTGCGCAAGAGAGCATCTACACTGGCATGTGCTTTTGCGCCAGAGATATGCTTTTGTGCAAAAAGCATCCATGCCAGTGTAGACGCTCTCTTGCGCAAGAAAGCTCTTATGGCCATTTTAACCATCGGGCTTTCTTGTGCATGAAATTCATGTTGCCTGTCTACACTGGCCTCTTGCGCAAGAACACTTGCACAAGAATGGTTAGGAATGGTGTCCCTAGCCTGTTTGTCACAGGCTGAAAATGGATGACAGGAGAGGGATCACTTGATGATTACCTGTTCTGTTCACTCCCTCTGGGATATCTGGCATTGGCCACTGTTGGAAGACAGGATACTGAGCTAGATGGACCTTTGGTCTGACCCAGTCTGACCATTCTTATGTTATGATCTTATCTGTCTATAGCAGCTTGTTCTTAGTATTATCCAATATCATTTGTTTACACATGCAGCTATACTCCTAAAAGGCTAATAAATAACTCATTAGCTATGTATAAAAAACCAGCAGCTCAATGTGTTGCTTCTAATCATCTATAACCTCATCTAGAAGCATTTAATGTGTTCTAGATGACTAGAAGCACATAATGCTTATGCTGGGCACAAACTTATGTCTATTATTACATCAAGCTTTATAAACTATTTATGAAATTTTCCCTTCGTATAAAGGGCAGCTAAGACTTAGATTGCAATAGCAGCCATAGTGTGTTAAGCACTTTCCAAACACAGATAGAGACAGTCCTTAATCAAAAGTGCCTTTGATGGGAGATTTTAAAATTGCTTGACATACTGAAGTTTTCTAGTTTTCTCTGGGGAAAGAGCAGAATTCCCTAATGTTATTTCTATCTTGCCAAAAGAAAGAAAACAATGTTTTTTATTTCTAGCAAGAGTTCAGAAGAGTAGATAACTACACTGTCTCCCCAGTTCAGATCTGAGTTTGTTGTTAATCCTTAGACATCAGCACTTTGATTTCTGGGAGGATGATCAAAGTTGTAAACTCTTCCCCTTCTTTTACCTAGATCAGTGGGTCTCATACTTCGGTCCTGGTAACCTTTCACATAGCAAGCCTCTGAGTGGACCGCCCCCTTTATATAAAAAGGTGGTTTTAATTTATATTTTGGCACCATTATAAATATAGAAGGCAAAGTGGGGTTTGGGGTAGAGGTTGACAACTCACACATACCCATATATAACCTGGTCTTGATGTTTTTCGCTTGTTTGCTTTCTTGCTTAGTAATTACTGCTTTTCAAGGTAGTGTGCAACTAAGCTGAAACGAGGAACAGGAAAAATATTTCCAATGTACTCTGCTAGTAAAGACTAGCAATGTTACTAAATGAACATTTAATCTTGCAAATGGTTGCAGGTGCAGAGTGTGATTTTTTTTTCATAATTATCTTTGGTAACTTTGTGAGTGACTTGTGGCATAGTAATAAATCTTAAACTAAAAATGACTCTCCTAAATTGCTTTGAGGGCTCACTTTTTTCTTTGTTTATATCCTAGTGTTTTATTTCAATCTATAGCAGGCTGATCTAAAGAAGGAAAAAGGACCTGGAACTACAAGGTTTGCAGCTTCTGATTCATAATGGGAAACACTCTGAGGCTGCAGTTCAAATAAACCCTGGAAATTTTGGAAGAGTATTGCAATCTGCTAGAGATGTCTAGGTCTGGCTTTCTGACCAGAACATTTTCTTATTAAAGAGAGCCTAAAGGAGCAAGTTTCATTTGTGATATTTTGCTATTAATTCTTCCACCCTAGGCTTATTGTGTGACCTTGGTCAAATCACTAAGGCTGTCCCTATGTTACAGCTGGAGAAGATACTACAGTGCATGTGGATGCATCTGAGCTACTTTAATCTAGATAGTCAAAGCACTGATAGCAATAAAACTAGAGTGGCACGGTTGTCAGCATGAGCTGTATGAGCCCACTCAGGACCCTGGGTATGTAAGCTGGTGACTAGCCTGTGCTTTAGTCCATGCTGCCACAACTTCACTCCTATTGGTAATCAATCTAGCTAGATTAAAACTAGCTGTAGCATAGGTGCTGATTCTGTGGCTGTTCCAGCCCTGGAGCATCCACAGGGGAAAAAATGGTGGGTGCTGAGAACACAATGGCAGAGCTCCCTTCAGTGCCTCCTCTCTCCTCAGTGCCTCCCATCTGCCAGCAACTCAGCCGATTTGCTCCCCTCCCTCCTCAACACGGCCCGCCCGCCATGGATCAGCTATTCTGCAGCATGCAGGAGCTGTGAAAGGAGAGGAGTGAAGATGGGAAGAGATGGGGTAGGGATTTGGAGGAAGGGGAAGGCCTGGGGCAGAGCTGGTGGGGCGCTCATTAAAAAGCTGGCGCCTATGAGCTCTGGTGTGGTTACAGTCATGGGCATTCACTGCCACCAGGCATGGCCCCGCCCACACTCCACCACCAGCTATAGGCATTCTGGAGGTGGAATGTTGCTGCCCCCAGCGCCCACTGTCCCCAAGCTCCGGGACAGAGAAACTGGAGCCGTGTGGCCTTCTGTCCCTGTGCTCTGGGGCTGGGGAGGCTGGGCGCATGAAGCATGCCCTCCTCCCACACCCAGTGCTCTGGGGTTGGGAAGGATGGGCACATGAAGCATACCTTCCTCCCTTGCCCGGTGCTCCAGGACTGGGGTGAACTCATGCCCACTCACCTCCCCTCCCCGTGGAGAGCAGGAAGGGGGCGGGGCCTCAGCAGAAGGGACGGGGCTGGAGGTGCGGTTGGGGGCTTGCCACCCCCAGCCCTACCTTCACCCAACCGCCCATTGTTACAGTCACACCTCTGACAGGGTGTAGACTTACATTTAGCCTCTCTGTGATTTCATTCCCCATATGTACAATTAGGTTTATAGTACTTTCCTGCTTCACAGCAATGTTGACAGTTAAATACGTGTGAGAACTTCCATACTACAGTAACAGAGGCTGAATAAATACAGACGATGATAGACAGGTAAAGATTTATATTTGTTTCTTTGCTGTATTGTAGGTTTTTCTCCTGTTTGCATTTTTCTTGGGTCCAGGTTTATACAACCTGCTAAAACTTAGTGGCATTCACCCCAAATCCCTGCATTTTACCTTGGTTTTGGGCCCAAATCATGAAAACCCACAGGACACCACACGTTAGTTTGACCTGAGATGATAACTTGGTCCCTAGTTCTTTGGATAGCTAATCCAAATTCAGTGGCTTGCTGCGAACATGTTGCACAGTTCTAATGCAGGCATTCAGGAATTGAATTGTCTTTGCCAAGAGTTCTTTCAAACTTCAAAAGGGAGAGGTTCAGGTCAAGAGCTGCCCAGTCCCTGATACCAGAATGGTGAGTGCATTTGACAGGCCTGAACAGAAATTCCTTCCTGATGGATACTTTCCATGACCTTATACAAATCAATTAACTTGTCACAAAACTGTAGTTATGTCAAAACTGGGTTTAAACAGGAACCTCACTGTAAACAAAATGTTGCTATGTCATTCTGGGAAATCTGTTAATTAAAATGGTGTGCTTACCAGTACATAAATTATGGAAGCCAGGATGATCACAAAAGTATAGGCTGCCAGAGTCCCCAAGCATATGGCAAACTTGGTTTCTGATGACTTGCAGGAGTCTTGCAATGTATCTTCTGTTCCTAAGCGTAAGATATTACAATTTGAAATAAAACCTGATTTTGATGCCAATACTCTTCCCATACGTTTCATTGAGCTGTAGGTGCTTACCCTGTCATACTTTTTTTTTTTAACCATGTTCAGAGAAATGGGTATTTTGCAGAGTCAAAATGCAGGGACTCCAAAAAGGATTTGGGAAAACAAATATCAAGCAATTTACAAGTTAGAAAGAAAAATGTTTATGGTCTAAAACCAGGTCCTAAAAATAAGAAACAAGCTAAAATTTATGACTGTATTGAAACTCTAGTCTTAATCTTTAAAAAACATTACTTTTGTTTTAATGTTTAATATTGGGCACAGAAAGCCAACAGTTCATAGACTGTGGTTTTACTAGTGTGACATTAAGAATATCTTTGTTTTATAAATATAATCTATGTTTTACTGGAATGATTACCCATTTATAAATAGGCATTAGCCTTAGATGGCATAAGGAAACTATGGTTTTGTGTATGCAAGTTTCTGTTATGTTCTACATACACCGTAGAGGCATTTAAGAATGGAATCATTTCCAAACTCAGGCTAAAGGAGAATATTTTTAATTGGAAACCTGAAGATTGGCTATTTACATAACACCAAATTTGAGCTAGGTAATTAGTAAGGCTCTCATATTCTGTAGGCTAATCACTAGAGGGCAGTACTATACCAAAACATCTGTTATGCATGGAAGAAGCTTGCAAATTGCTGATGTCCTGAGTGTACTGGTTCTATAGATATGTGGGACTTCAACCTCCAGATCTGAGGTTGATGTGGCATTTTGCATTAGCATTAAAGTTACAGGGTTTTTTAAAAAATGATGGAAAACTGACTTGTATTTAATGATCAAGATTGTGCTCATTAAATTAAAAAGTGTCAGGGATAGACATGTTCGTCTGTCACACTAAAATCAATGAGTGGTCTTGTAGCACGTTAGAGGCTAACAAATAATATACAGTATCATGAGCATTCGGGGGCAAAATCCACTTCATCAGATGAGCTTCAGTGGAGACTCTGTGGTGCCCAGGACTACCCATTAGTATTAAACAAATATGGCAAGTAGTTGCTATTTTTAAAAAGCACCATTTGCCAACATATAGCATATGTGGGTTTCTCATACTATGTTTTCTTTCTATAGAACAAGACAGGGGGTGTAAGTTGGCAATATGGGATTGTTAATAGCAACTGACATACAGTATTGTACCTTTTAAGACTGACATTTAGCTGAAGTTCAAGGAAAAGTTTCAGAATGAGGCATAATAAAATCCTACCACAGATGTATGTTCCATTGCTACTTCCTTCTAGATATGGAGGTGGTATCAGGCGTGCCACTTTGCAGGTGTACAGACCAGCATCCCTTGGTTGAAGATTCTTCACTTCCAAGAAAACTGCACCTTTTAGAAGGTCGCCTGTGAGCTTGTATTTTCCATCCTCCCTTGATAATGCAGCGCCTTGGTCTAAAGGCAACGTCTTTGAAGACATGGTTATTTTCTTCACGGAATCATTCAACAGTTTAATATTCCAGTAGACTTCAATTTCAGCCTCGGATAGAAACTGGAAGTCAAATATACAATCAAGAAGTGCAGATGTGCCATATTTAATAGAGGCTATGGCAGGATATTGCTTGACTGTGATATAGGCTGTGGGAGGAAAAAACACACAAATCCTATATTAGTCCACATTCCTTACTTATCGCCTAGATCTTTAGCTTCTGCTTCCAAATTAGTCCTACTTGCTTTAAGATTCATCTGCCTCCAGATGTAATTAGGTACTAATCTGGCTGTTTGATGGATTAAAAATAGCCTTAATTAGAAGGCTGTGTGTTCTCTCATGGGGCTGTTACATCATCATTCCTGAGCTTGTCTCAGCAGGAGCACATTACTTTTTCAGTGCTTTGCTTGCTTTAAAAAAATCCCGGATTGGAAGGGAGGGGATGTAAGGAGAGGGTGATAAGAGATTCCTACAGTTTCTCTTCTGGAGAGAGGGGCCTGGACTTCAATTCACACAGGGCTTTTCTTGGGGGAAAGGTGAGGGTTGTTTTGTTTTTTAAATTGTTCATGTTCCCCCAAGCACATTTCTCATCTTTGACATTGCCTGACGATAGCAAGGTGGGAGCTTCCATGTTGTATGGAAAGCCCCACAGCAGTGCCCAGTTACTGTACCTCATCCAACATATTTTGCTCGGCAGCCCCAAAGCTGAGCAGTGCTTGCACACACCCAGTAATAATACCTGGCCCTTCATTAGCGCTTTCTGTCTAGACTTCTCAGCGCATATTATGGAGGTGCTCAGTATGGTTACCCCCATTTCACAGATGGGGGGGAGCGGGGAAGGGAAAGACAAGGAAGTGACCCTTGTTCTAGATCACCCAGCAACAGAGCCCATGTCTCCTCAGCGCACCGACCTGAGACTATCTACACGCCCACACTGTCTTCTCTTTTCATGTTACTTGTGAGATACTGTTCCTTTTGAGCAGTGTTGTAGCACTCAGCACTAATATTGCGGAGACTCACTTTACATGCGCAGCTACCACTGGTGTCACAAAGTCTTTGTTCAGTGCTGATTGATATTTTCTGATTAGAAAATGAAAATATTGCATCAGGTTGAACAATCCCAAGAGAAGGAAGCATTTTCATGGGGAGAAAAAGGACTGAAGACTTCTTGAAGACCATAAAGATCCTAAAACATTGAATAAGCTGCCATGATTCAAAGCAATTCAGGGGCCTAGTTATTTCATCACAAAGTTGAGTTAGGTCCATGTCTAGCTTAGCATAGATTCATATAACTGGAAGGGGCTTCGAGAAGTCATCAAATCCAGTCCTCTACCCTCATGGCAGGACCAGCCACCATCTAGATTATTCCTGATCGATGTCTATCTAACCTGCTCTTAAATATTTCCAGTGATGGAGATTCCACAACCCCCCAGGTAATTTATTCCAGTGTTTAATCATCCTTACAGTTAGGAAGCTTTTCCTAATGTCCAACCTAAACCTGTCTTTCTGTAATTTAAACCCATTCCTTCTTGTCCTATCTTCAGAGGCCAAGGAGAACAATTTTTCTCCCTCCTCCTTCTAACGCCCTTTTAGACACTTATGGATCAGCATTAACATGCAAGTACCTAAATTGATATTCAAATGTCCACAACTTGAATTTCCAAAGCTTAACAGGGCCTGTGCTATATGAAGAACTATGGTTGATGTTTGTTTCAAATGAGTAAATGGTTTAGTAGCATACTCCACTTAAAGTCAATAGGATTCATGCAGCTAAATTACTCAAATGCTTTTTCAAAGGTTGAGTTCAGATTCAGCTTCTCACATGCTATTGCCACAACTTCCAAAGTGCATACATTTCTTTTCCTATTTGCTTAGGAAGTTTTAACAAGTTTACAGATCCTTGCCATGTAAATAAGAAACAAAACAATCATTACAACTGTTATCTTTTGTTTAGATCCATTATGCAGTAATGTAATGTCTCGTTGGATCATTCTATTTAGCCAGGTGTTTGCCATATTACAGAATGAACTTCATTACAACACCTGTGTTGTTTCTAGTGATTTTATTAAATTGAGCAAAATCTTTGCATAATGGATACATCTAGATTGGCATGATTTTGCGGAAATACTTTTAACGGAAACATTTTTCCGTTAAAAGTATTTCCGCAAAAGCACGTCTAGATTGGCACAGATGGTCAGTCTAGACGCGATTTTGCACAATAAAGCCCCGATCGCTATTTTAGCCACCGGGGCTTTTTTGCACAAAATAGTTCTTCCGTGTCTACACTGGCCCTCTTGTGCAAGTATTCTTGCACAAGAGGGCTTTTTCCCGAGTGGGAGCGTGAAAATATTTGCGCAAGAAGCACCGATTTTGTACATTACAAAGTCAGTGCTCTTCCACAAATTCAAGCGGCCAGTGTAGACAGCTGGCAAGTTTTTGCGCAAAAGTTTTGCGCAAAATCTTGCCAGTCTAGATGCACCCATACAATATATTTCTCTATTTAACAGACCAAGAGTGTCTATCAAATGTTAATATGAAAAGAAAAGGGGGCAGTTGTACTGTCGGCAGGGGTTAGCTGAATGTACTTTGAGTATTGAATAGAAGGTAATAAAGTACCTTAAGTATTTAACAGTCCTTTGCCTATTTTGCTGCATAAGTAATTGGTGCGTTAACTTTTTGTGTAACCCCAACTTATTTTTTTTAACCATTCCTCAATGGATGAACTATTTTTCTTTTTCCGAGATGAGACCCTACTAGTTACCAAGCAGCTGCTAGCAGATAAGAGAATAATTCTTCATTTCCTAATTTGTGTGATCATTTCCACTGGGAGAACCCAGGAGGTTTACTAAATGATCATTTGGCAATAAATACCCAACAATTTGTGATAAGGTGACACAGGACTCCTCGCCACTTTTGCAGATTCAGACTAACATGGCTACCCCTCTGATACTTGTCTATGGATTGTATTTGAATACATTCTAATGGCTGGATGTATCCATCCCATATGCATAACATCTCCACTTGGACCACAGTTTTGTCAACATTTGTTCCCATTCAATCTTTCTCTATATATATTTTAACCTGGCTGGTGTGAGGTACCACTGAAATAATCTTAGACCTTTTTTTTTCATTGTGCCACAAACCCAGGTTGCTAGTCTTCTCTTCCAGATCAAACCCAATTTCTCTGAGGTAATTTGTCTACCTACATCCTTTTCACAGTGTGCCACATATAGACACTTAACTTATCAATCTTTTGCTAATTGTTCTTAATTGGTGAAATAATGTGTTGTTCTTGAATTCCTTTAAGCTTCCAAATCAATAGCCCAACACTTTTCTTTACTTTTTAATAAAAAAATCTGCTTTGTATCTCTAAGGTAGCATTTCTTAAAGTGTGTTTGGGTGTGCCACGAGGCAGTAGGAGGTGTGCTGCAGAGAACAGAGTTCAAAATGGCTGCCCTCAACACCTTTTCCCTGGGGGCTTTTTATTTGGGGGGAGGGGAGTCAACCAACAACATTTCCCTGAGGAATGGCCACCCTTAAAGGGGCAAGCCTCCTTCTTTTTTATTTCCTCAACAAAAAAATCGTTGGTGTTCCCCATTAAAAAAATGATTGTTTGGTGTTCCTCAGTCTTAAAAAGTTTAAGAAACACTGCTCTAAGAGCATTTTTTCACTGGCATCTGACATCAGCACAGTCAACTTCCCTCTAATATTCATAGAATCATAGAGCTGGAAGAGACCTCAGGAGGTCATCAAGTCTAGCTCCCTGCTCAAGGCAAGATCAATCCAAACTAAATCAACCCAACCAGGGCTTTGTCAAGCCAAGACTTAAAACCCTCAAGGGATGGAGATTCCACCACCTCCCTAGGTAACCCATTCCAGTACTTCACCACCCTCTTAGTGAAATAGTTTTTCCTACTATCCAAACTAGACCGCCCCCACTGTAACTTGAAACCATTGCTCCTTGTTCTGCCATCTGTCACTACTGTGAACAGCCTTTCTCGATCCTCTTGGAACCTCCCTTCAGGAAGTTGAAGGCTCATATCAAATCCCCCCTTACTCTTCTCTTCTGTAGACTGCCCCTCAGCCTCTCCTCATAGGTCATGTGTTCCAGCCCCCTAAATATTAGTTTACTGTTTGTTTGTTTTCTGCACCTGTGTTTTTATGAATGCCTTATAACCTTTTAATCTCCAAATCTACTTCTATTTTTTCTAGAGCTCTTTCCTTTTTTTTCAGTTGACAGACTCCACTTATCAACTAACCCCTAAACACTGCATTACCTGACTCCCAGAGAAGGTATCTTTTTATATTGTCCATATTGATTGCTATAGCACAATCTTTGTCTTGGAGAAGCAAGCAGTTCATTCTCCAAGTATAGCGATCTTTGGGAACCAGTCCTGCTATCAAATATTACTTCCACTGGTGCATGATCTGACCATGTAATGTTGCCAATTTCTGCAGATCTTATCCGCTTTGTTAAAGATTTAGACATCATAAGAGTGTAAATAAAATGAGTAATCATTTTCCCTGTGGCATAATTCTCTCCAGCAATCTGAGAAATTGAATTATTGACACCAGGAAGACAATGCTGTATGTGCTTCCCTATCCAATGTGTATGTGTGCTTTTAGATGTGTCCCGGTACAACTGAAGTCTCATCCAAGTATAGTGTACACTTTCCTGAAGTGTTGCTGATTTTTAAAAAGCCCTTTACAAATAAAACAACTCAAGACTCCAATAATGTTAGTTGGAAAGGAGATAGAGAGAGCAGGAGGCACTTATCAGCTATCTTATGCAATGTAGCATCCAAGCATATTGACTAAGGGAGCAGCTACATGGCAGCTGGGAGATGCCATTTCCAGCTTGGGTAGATATACACATGCTAGCTTTGCTTGAGCCATGGCAGCTTGAGCAGTGGCTCTGGTTAGCTGTCTGAACACAACTCGATCTAGCCCCGAGTACATATATGGCTAGGTAGCCCAAGCCACTTCCTGTGCCACTTGAGCCACAACTGGTATATTTTAGGTGCTATCTAGAGCAGAGCATTTGCATGTATGTCTACCTGTGCATATAAACCTTTTAAAACATAAGGAAACTCTCAAATCAAGACCAGGGGCAGGGTATATCTTCTAAAATAAAAAGGTCTCTGTCTCA